ATATTAATTTTATTTAAGATAAGCTATGGATTCCATACCCTGTCAATAAAAGAAAACAAAATTTTTGCATTTGCAGACGCTCCCCATTTACTGAAGTTGTTGCGGAATCATTATCTAGATACATGATTGAATTATAAAGGACAAGTAATTACTTCATTCATTCTATCTCGTACGAAGCAAAATATTTATATATTTGCCAACGCAGTGGCACATTTTACTTCCCCTCAGATGTCGTGACAAATCCAGTTTCAGACAGTTTGGGACCTTCGAATGGACTTGATTTCGATTAATTGAGTTATTTTTCACATATTTTCAAATCTATACATTTCATTTTTCTACAAAGGTTATAGTCACCTAAGTGAGTTTTGATAGGTTTTACATTTCAATAGCAAGTCGATGAACATATGAATACAGTTATTTAATTAAAGGAAGACAAAAAGTCAAATTGGCGGCACAACTTTTATCCAATACAACAGCAAATGCAATATTACGATGTGATGCCCATAGTCATGAGAAATACCAACCACACATAACATCCAAATTTATTCAGCTGTCAAATGACTGGTTTGATATAGTAAATTCCAAAATTAATACGTTCAATTACCCAGGAAAGGTCCTTAACAAATATCGCTTTTATACCCTTCACCATAGTATGGAGGGTATATTAAGTTTGTCATTCCCTTTGTAACACCTCAAAATATACAGTTTACCCACCCCACAAGGTATATATATATATATATATATATATATATATATATATATATATATATATATCTGCATAAAATTCTATGTCGATGTCCGTCCGTCTGTAGAAATCACTCAAGCTTCCGAATGGAATAAAGTAAGTTGATGAAATTTTACTCAGTGTATATAATGTCTGCAGGACTTTGGTATTGAAAATTGGCCACTTAGGTCCACGTTTTCGTATGGCCCCATACAACGGTATCTCCCGATATTCGGTATTTGGATGATTTTAGCGACATTATTCACTAGAATTGTTTAAAATGGTTACTACTACCTATAAAGAAAATTACTTATGCAGGTCCACGTCTACGTATAGCACCCATACAAGAATACCCTCGTATATTAGTTTTTTTTTAAATTTTTGGCAAAAATGGTGGAGGGAATTAAAAGTTCGGCCAGGCCAAACTTATCTGCTTTTTTACTTTTTTTTAATGTTCTTATAACATGATTTTTTCGTAAAAACACTTTAATAGGAACCATACGGAATATCGAAAAAGAGGCAGAACGAAGTACTGTGGAGAATGACAGAAGCTGTTTCTGAACCCATGATTCCAGGGAAAAAAAGACTGTGTATTTTTCAAAAAGTTATCATGATGACAAATAATGCTCTATGTGTGCTTCATGAATATCTTCATGAAAAATTCGGCGTGAGATATATATTAACAAACCGATTAAATCAGGATGTCTTGGAGAACTTCTTCGGAGCACTAAGGAGTAAAGGGGGACTAAACGACCACCCGACTCCCAAGGATTTTAAATACAGAATGAGAAAATATATTCTAGGTTTGTGTTAATGTACATGTTTAGCAGAATATTAAGTATCACTTACCATTCTTATCCTATTTATCTAGCTGGAAACACGGAATTGATGGATAACACAGGAAATGTAAATAATGGTCCTATGCCATGGATATCTTTCTTACATACGCCTATAGCAACTGAAGAATTCCCCTTCGAAAAAATGATGAAAAGCAAGTAAACGAATATGTAGAAGAAATAGAAATAAAAGATTTTCCGGATATCGGAACCCTAAAAGATTATGCGCTGGAGTATATAGCGGGATATATGATCCGAAAGCTAAACCTCCCAGACCACCTATGCGAAGAAAAAACCTTTACTTGGGTGGACCAAGTATCCAAAGGGTTTCTAAAAAAGCCCTCCAGAGATTATTTGCTGAAAATAATTCAACTGGAATCAATTTTTCACAGTTTAAACGGCGACAGAATTGATCACAGAGATAAATTGCATGAAATGAGCGAATGTATGAAATGAGCGAAAATGTGGACATTGATCACAAAGTAAAGCAATATTTTTTCAAATGTCGTATTAATTTTCGCATTAAGCATTTGAATGTGGGGTTAAAAATACAAAAGGCTATGCAGCGAATTTCGGGACAAAAAAATCTATTAAAAATTCAACTTTAACTGCAAATATATGTAATTGATTATCTGTTAAATACTCCATAGATTAGATACTATAACTGTAATGTTATAATAGACTGAAATTTAATTAACAATGTCAATATATACACGTATGTAATTAGATAAAATGAGTCGGACATAGAGCATATGGAACATAAATATATTATAGACAAGGCACGGTCGACGAAGGGGTTTTTGTTGTAACAGACAAAACCAACTTACATGGTTATGCTTCTTCGTTCAGGTTGAACGAAAGCATAACAAGTGGAGAAAGATGTAAATGTTTATAAGTGCGGTTGTAAGATTTAGAAGACTTTCCAAAAGAATTTTAGTTTTATTTAATTCTTTGGTTCCTCTTCTATTGAGCTTACGATCTCGTCACTTGGGTAAAAATGTTTTTTTTTTTGTCATAGAAGTTATTTTTAAAATAACTTCTGGGGAGAATATCCCAGACAAAAAACAAGGGAACTGATGAGGATTGGTGGCTCTTTCCGAAACCTAGGTATTCCCTGCCTTACCCCCTGGTAAACATTACCATCGTTCTCCACTAATAAACAAACGTTGTTTTTATAAAAACAACAATAAAAGGGATAAGCCTGACCATTTTGCAACAACAAAATATGTACTATTTATATATCTGCAATTTTTTGTTCTTTGAAATAAATTAAAAAAAAAAAAAACAAATGTATGCATAATTTAATATAAATATCGGTTATTATTAGTTTAATAGGTAATAGGTATTAATATGTGCCAAATTTGAAAATAATCGGATGCTTATTTCCCGTTTTATGAGCTTCATTGGTATTCAATATGTTGACCCCTTTGTGAGGGAGGTAACAGAAGGAGTGGATCGATATCTGCCATCTTCACGCAGGATCCTGTGCTGGTATAAATGTTGGGATATGAGAAATTTCAAGAGAATTGGATGCTTATTTAGTATTTTATTAAAATTATAAATATTCAAAATGTTGACCATTTGTTGGGGCCGATATTGCATATTTTCACCCCTGATATAACATTGACTCTAATATTGCCTCTCCGAAGTAGTTTGACAATAATATTACGATGTATTAACTTTGGGTCGAATCGGATACTCCCTTCAAGAGTTATCGCGCGCACGAGCCAGACAGACCGACGAGCACGCCTAAATATGGACAGATTCATCTTGAAACAGTCATCTTGATATAACACAAGTGGGCCCTTCTTTTCCACGTATCACATATTTTGTGGTTTTTGAATGCCTGTTACGAACACGTTGTTGACCAGAATTCGTAAACAAATAAGGCAATACGAGTGGGCTGGTCAAAAACAAAAAATTTCCTTCCAATTAAAAAAAAAACACAACGCTCTTGAATTAACCATAACGCTTTATTTAACTTCATAAAATAATTAATTTTAAAAATATCGCGTTTTGCTGAATGAATATCTTTCGTTAATAATAACAAATTTCATTAAAAATAACAATAACAAAACAAAAAATACTTTTCATAACAAGTTTTTTGTCTATGGCTACTGACGTTTGTCATCATGTGACATTATTAGCCGTACGTAGAGAGTTGTATTTTCTTTGATTTTTTAACTTTGCCCTACCTTGATATCATTGTACCATGCTACTACCCATGGTACAATGAAGAGAAGGTAGGCCAACTTTGAAAAAAATTGCATATGTAGAGGTCTACCCATGGCAAAAGAATACAGGTAGATGCATCAACGCTTAGGAGCATTGATATGTCAAAAAAATGTTAAAGTTTTTTTTTTCAAATATAAGTAGATTTTTATATGTTTTTCTATACTACGTCATTCGGAGGCTATTATAATTCGCGTTTTTCAACATTTTTTACAAATTTAAATAGTTGTTCATTCAACATTTTCAATTCCAAAATTGGTTTGACAGTTCATTGTCCCAGCAGCTGTGTCGACGCGTCTACCTATATTCTTCTACCATGGGTCTACCTGTTTGGCTTGTAATGTCAGAATTAGTATCAAAACAATAAAAAATCAAACAACTTGTTGCATTTATTTTGAATAAATAATTGAAAACCACGATAACTGAATGAAAGATCAACACTTCTTTTCGAAACCATCTCTAAAAGATTATTTCGCTACAAAAACTCTAGATTTTGTCGATGCATACGATGAAATAAACATTTTGAAAACATCCGAATCTGAATATTTTCTAAACAATTTTTTTGTTATTGAAAAGAAAACACATACATAAACAAATAAAGATGACACATTAAGCCAAGAAAATAAAAAAAAAAATAAAATCATATGGTATCAGAGCCCTACCTTGATATTGTACCATGCTACTACCAATTAAGTGTTCAATGATTTAAGAAAGGAATCCAATTTCAGGTATCGTTTGTGAAAAACCCGAGGATAAAATAATAGACATAAAACTGGCAATTTTCACAGCGACTCATATTGCTATTTCAAGTATTGATCATCTAATAGAGATGTTAAAAACACTATCCATTAAGGAGTTCGAGAAATTAGAGTTGCACAGAACAATGTACAGTGCAATAATAAAGCGTATTGTTGATCCAGTCCTGCTATCCCAATGAAATTAAAATGTTCTATTTATTTGTTATTTTCTAGTTTTATGATATTTTACATATATAATATGCAAGATACATTATTCTATGAATTGAATTCTATGTGCAAATATTTTTTCAAATAAATTTACTCTGTTAGTTTTTTGTTAAATGCTTGGGGATTTTTTTTGAGGAAATTGAATCAAATTTGAGGAGATCTGGAGAAAACGTTTATTGATTTTGGGGACGAGAGACAGAAAATACTGGCAACACTGCCGGGGACCAAAAAATGTATTTCGCTATCGCCGGCAAAAAATCGTACGGCTTCGAGTTTTTATTAAATCTCTCAACAATCAAAATAAAAGTGAATGAAAAGTAAATTTGTCTATTTAAAGCAAAAATGCTCAGTGATAAAGCAATAAAACTATTAGTAATTGGCGAAAGTGGAGTGGGGAAGTCAAGGTGAGAACAAAAATCCATTCCGCATAACTAATAAAATAACATTGAACTGGTGCTGTCACCTAAACTATTTTGCGTATTTAGATCATCAGTTGTAAATATACAAAGGCAATGAGTATGCGATGGCGTGTATTCAAACAAGCTGATATTTTTCTTGAAGACAAAGTTCGTCATCCATGGGTCGTGTTAAAATTCTGACTACACTTAGAGAACCCACAACATTCTCGAATTTAACTTTTCCACGTAATCCATATATACAATGATTTTTCTGGCCTTTAGCTTTCCATGATCTACTAAAAATAAAATTTGCTTCTATTTATGGTTTTGAATATTTTCCCAGTTATCATGCATCGAAACTAAAATTTCAAATTTATAGAATATTTATGAGGTTTTTGTTAGTGCCATTCTGAGTAAGTGCTATAAGGAAGGTGCAAATATTTTTGTGGACCATAACTGTGAATTGATAGAAATGATAAAAAGAATTAAGCAATGATCAATTCCCATATACCAAAAATATACTGGTCGATCCTATTCAAGATCAATGGAATCTATTCACATGCCTGAAGTCGAGAGGAAATGTTGTAGGTTCATTGAAATATAGCTACCAGCCTTTTGGTTTATTTTGAAGGATTCTATTTTTAAACGTTTCTTTCGTCTGTTCCATAATAATTTCGATTCGTACAAAAAGGCCAACTTTTCACCACTGACAAATACATTTGCAAATGTTGTCCTGCATTTCCCGTAGTGTGTGTTTGAATTTCTGGTGTTTGCGCTTTGATAACGAAATCAGGCATCGGTCCATGTCAGCAGTTTTAAATACGCCTTGGTACAATGTGTATTTGGGTATCATTCATTGAAATTTTTAACTTTAAATTTAAAAATTTTGGTAGAAGCCTCAAATATAAAATATGTATGTACACTGTATTGCTTATCAATGTGAGTCGTTTATTCTTATATCTAGTTCAAAACCGGCAACGCTAAATTTTTCTAAAACTATTGTTTTCCTAAGTTCTCAGTTCTAATCTGAAATTTCAGTATATCAACTGTCAAAATTGCTCTCTTCAGATGTTCTCGTTTTCTATGGTGTATCGGACATTTTGTAATAATATGTAAACCTTTTTTGGTAGGTGAGAAGATATGTACTTGGCGTGTTTGGATATTATTTGTACATCACGCTAAATTTTTGGAAGGTCTGTTATACTCATATATAGATCTACCTTATAACCACATCTCGTGCAAAAAACATGAATTCCCTGCTATAGTAAATTGCCAGGTACGGCGTTTTACCCCAAAATGCTAGCTTTGTTATATTGATAATCCTATTTTCAACCCTACTAAAAAATATATGGATGATTTTAAAGTTTTTCAATTAAAATTTTGATTTTTCAGTACCTATGGGAAACAAGTATGCGTTCTATCAAAGTATTAAACTTTTGCGGTGAAAACGTCATAAATTGTGTGCGCCTGTCATGTAAATGGGTTTATTAAAATCAATTCTTTATCCGGTTTAGCAAACATTTGATAAACAGACCTACCCACTGCCCAACGTACCATACAAAAGTACTCATCTTCTCTAATAGGGTAACATGTTTTGCGAGTCCGTTGTACCAAAATACACAAGGTCCATAACTTTAAGGCATTCAAGCATTTCATAGATTCCCATTGGAATAGTTTCAATGCAATTTTCCACAAAATTCTATTTTGATTTCCTTTTTTTTATTTTTGCTTCAGCTTATCATTGGCAATGCCAGATTGTTAAGTTTTCACAAATGATTAATTTTTATTTGAAGAAAAAACGGTTTTCACAAGCATATATTATGTGGCAACACTTCTTCAATAATTGGTTTCTTCAATTGAAAAATTAATTGTAATTATTTTGTAATTAATTGCAAATTATTTTAAATAGGAAGAAAAAATTGATTTTAAATGTGTATTTGTTATTACAACAACATTTTTATTAATTTATAGTATTTTTAAGTCACAAGTTTATATAAAAATACAATTGTACTAGCAAAGTAAAAATTGGTTTCATTCCGAATAAATTCGTTTTTTCAGTACAGAAATTACTCCACTTTCGATTGGAATTCTTTTCGTAAATGTATTTCTTTATGATAAACTTCGAAGGCGTACGTCAGGCGTACTAGTGTAAAAAACAGGCAGCCGGGTAATTTTGCACCGTGAAAATCACATTATAAAAAGTATCGATGGGAAATTTTTTAATTGCCTGTGTCGAAAGCTCTTCACTTTTTCATAATTTTTCATTAACAACATCCAACTTTCAAAATTAAAAATAAGAATTTCCTTCTTAGAAGTTAACGCATAACTTTTGTTCCCTTCCAAAAATGTATGGATTGAATGGCGGGACATGTACCAAAAAAGAATATTTGAACATAACGTTATAGATCGCGAGAATAACATTGATCGTAGAAAAGAAAAAATTAACAGTTTACTTTTATCAGCAAAGTGACCTGCTCAGATATTAATCGTATATTTAGGTAAACTGTCACATTTATCTGAAAAAATTGAAGAGTTATTTCATTCAATCTACGTGAAAACTGAAATTAAGGAATTAATTTTAAAATTATTTGAAAGCTATGGATGAGTTCCAATATAAATATGGGTTGCCATTATCGATTTGGCAAATGTGATTACCTAAATTTTATTCCCATGCGTTATACATTCGTTTTGATTAATATTTGCTCTGTTTTGCAATTTTTACTACTTTTGTAAAATATTGGCCTATTCCAGAATTGCAATGACCGATAAAGGGAATATGATATCAAAAAATGTTGCAAAACTAGTAGATTCTTGCATGTTTTGGAACAGAGCATATATATGTTGGAAGTTTTTTCTATCAGAACACACACGTTACTAGAAATTGTAAACTACGCGGCGTCAAATAGGTGATTGCAACACTACTATTGCTGACAACTTGAAAATTTACTTCGCCGTCGATATGTTTGTTACGGCTCTGGCTAGAATGACGGGTGACGAATCAGCTGTTGTTAATTTACGGAACGAGGACTGTTTATGTAAAAAAGAATCAATTGGCTCAAATGGCACTTATCCAAAAGTGGAATGCGCTGAAACGCAACAAATCCTTTAAATATGGCATTCCGTTTCTTGTGTTAATGGTGGGTGGTTCTTTTGGTCTACAGGAGTTCACAAAATTAAGGTAAAATTCTGCAGCACAATCTTGATTTCCAAACGGCTTATTTCTATTTCTTAACTTTGCTATGTTGTAGATACCAGTTCTCCAAACAGAAAACCATAACTCCTGACGAAATGGAACAGCATGGTGTAAAAATGAAAAAACCGGAAGAAGTCACAATAGAAAAGGTCTATGAAACAGTAAAGGATTTAAATATAGAGGATTGGGAGAACAAGAGAGGACCAAGACCATGGGAAGAAAACTAAATAGAAATTGCTTCATATATTTTAATATTTTTACTTTGTAATTTATTGTGTTTCTTGGAAGAGTTAAACAATGTCATTTTAAGTATATTGAACTGTTTTTTTTTTGTGTACTGAAAACCCTTAAACCAAACATTGAACTTCCTAAGTCAGTTCACTTTAGCGAGGTTCATCCATTAATCTTATTTTTGACATTTGCTAGTCTCACTTCGGGTATTTGAAAAGAAGGCTTGAATAGTTCTCTGAAGCGACAGTTGACGAGTTCAACGCTGTAGACTACTACAGTTTTCGTTGATCCAAAATCGCTGAGACCAAAGTATTCCTTCGAATCATAAAGTCCATTATCTTACCTCAAAATCCATTGTCATTGAATAACAAAATGACATGTGAGAGTTGCTGTTTGGAAGACTGGGCGACGACTCTGGCGAAGACTACAGTTTTGCAGCACGTAGCAGCGTCTTTCAACCGGGTGAATCTGGAAACTTTAAAACTATAGTGATAACCTTAAATGGATTCGATCGAAATTTTTTGCGATATCGACTTCAAAAATTTGGCTTTAATTTTACTTAAGCTAGGATATAATCTTCGTAGTTGCTATTGTAGTCCAACTGGACAAATTTCGACAATTGGTATGGTATTATGTGTTTCGACCGACATGGACACATGAATCTGTACTTGGAACGTATTCCAATAGCTGAGAGCTCGGCCCTCGCAATTTCAAAAAAAAAAAAAGAAACTTACTTTATCGGCCTAAAGAGAAGGCCGTTTATTATTTTTAAAATATTGATCATAATATATCCTCTTCTCTTTATTTTAGTCTTATTCGTCGATTTGTGGAAAACAAATTTGACGAAAGTCATGACGTTACAATTGGTATGGACTTCAAAAGCAAAGTGATGAATATTGACGGCGTGGACTATAAACTGGCACTTTGGGATACAGCCGGCGCTGAAAGATTTCGCAGCTTAACACCCAGTTTCTATCGGAAGGCGTTGGGTGCAATTTTGGTGTATGACATTAAAAGTAGAGAGTCGCTGGTCAAATTAGAATCTTGGTTTGATGAACTAGAAAATTACAGTGATAATCCAAACATTGCCACAATTGTTGTGGGCAATAAAATAGACGAGGAACGCGTTGTAAGTCGTGAAGAGGGTCTTAAATTTGCTCGAAAACATCGCTCGCTATTTTTGGAAACCTCAGCCAAACATGATAAATTTGTTGCCGATGTCTTTCGAGATATCGTTGAGAAGGTATATAATATACATAGCATAAGCACTGTTGTCATATCGCTCATGTACTCAAAGAGTGTAACATCTCAAAAGATTCAGTCTAAGATATAAGAAAATTGTTTTGTTTTTTTAAAAATCTAAAATGTGTCTTCTTTCTTTTAGATTGTCAGTTCAGGCAATTTTGAACAGTTCAATAACGGAGATCGGATCGATGTGCGTACTGAAGATGAAGAAGCAGCAGCATCGTCTTGTAGATGTTGATCTACTATACTGAAAATTTTCTTTTTTATTGCATTTGTTCGCGTCAACCCTATGTTTACAACGGAATATTGAAAAACAAATTATTACTATTCTTAATCACTTTTACAATGTTTATGTTATAACCTAATTTAGATATGAATAATACTGGTAGTAAATGTAGTATTTATTATGTATTTGTGTACCAGCAGGAACTCTTTATGTCATAAGACAAAATAAATCGTCACAATAGGTTGGTTTCCTATAATCCCAAACTTTTTTTTAATAATGTCAAGTGGTTATACTTTATAAGAGAGACTTGAACTCAAAACACTACATGGAAATGTAAAGATTTTTTAAACAAAGATTCATTTTTTTTGAGCTGGGTTAACGTCGATTTTCTTATAGATAAGTTCAAGCAAATTTTCTCATACTTGCCAAACCCAGTCAGAATTAATCCTTAGTCATCCATTATGTACAGAATCAACTCCGAGTTTGTAGCAATTTCATACTAAGAAAGTACAGCAATATTTAATTGTAAAATCTAAATTGTATTGACAATGTTCGATGATAGTATAAATCTATTTTTTTTTTTAAATATGTTGGTTTGATTTTCGAAGAAAGATAAACCAACGCTTATCCCATGCTCTCGTACAAATAGTTAAACTTGTGAAATGAGCTTCGGGAGTTTTGATAAGGAACAGCAGTCGATCCACTGGAAATTCTCTGGGTAACTTTCGATGACATTCTGAAATGCCATCATTGTGGTTTTAAGCATAGCATGCAAGCAGAGTAATTTTTTTAATTGATATTGCATAAGCTTGCAATTCAGATATTCACACTTTTGGATGTCAGTCAGACTTCAATAGCTAGCATTCAGATTAGTCTTTCTTGTAGATCTCGTGCAATATGTAGATAATTAAAAACGAACAAATATCGCTGTCCTGTCAGAGTCAGCATTTTATGCATCAAGTTTTAGCAATAAATATATTAAAAAAAAACAAGACTCTTCTACTTTAGTTTCGATATCAAAACTTTTAGAAGTAAACTATAAAAAGAAACACATAAAACATACTTTTGGCGAGTAAGGACTTGAATTGTCATTTGAAATGCCACGAATACAATTAAAACACAATTACTAATTGGGAACGGATGGACAAAATTCAATCCTCTCTTTATTTATTTAGAATATTTTGATTTGTTGTTTATCGTTTTTGCTATAACCTGCAGCAAATCGTGTTTGCCATGGGCTAACAAAACATTTTTTTAAGTAAACATAGATATTTAGAGCAATCCACATTTGTTTGTTCGATTTTTTTTTCATTTATTCTTGTTTTTCTTTACTATTAAGTTTTTTATTGTTTTGCAAATATGTAATTATTTAATACACAAAATTAAAGAATGTTTTTAAAATAAGAAATTATTTACCTAAACCGATCTTTTTAGCATCCACTTCGTAGATGAGAAGTCTCCACATTTTGACAACGAACACCTCGGCTTCCTCGTCAAGTACCTTTTTATTGTTAGGAGAAATACACAACAATTAGACTCGTTTACATTATTTGAAATGTTATAATTACCATTTGTACATCGTCCAGAATACTTTGAGGTGAACTGCCAGCTAAAACCTTGGAGCAGATAAAATCGACTAATGTTGGCTCGGGCTCTCCAATGTATTCGATGATCTTCTTGTTTATCCAAGGGCGTATTTTGCGCTCCATAAGATTATTGTCGATCTCGTTGCGATCGAGTTTATAGTTGAAAAGATCCTCCTTTTGGGTCGGTATCCTGTCAATAATGCTTTTTATGTGGCGTCGTTTTTCATCGTGTACCTTTGTACCACTACTTTCATCCTTTTTGCTACTTGCTGCTGCAGGAACAGCATTTGTATCATTCTTACCGTGTTTTTTATTTGCAGCCGAACTTCCACCCTTTTCAGCAGAAACAGAGACAGGACCAGACGTGTTGTCATGTCTATCGCTTGGATTCACTGTCGCCAAACCATGGGTATTCTGTTGTTTTGCCTGATTGTCATCATAATCTGAAATTGTATTGAACGTAAGTATTATGTGGATGGACCACCAACGAAATATATACATACCTAGAGGTACCAATTTTCGTTTCTTTGAGTTGGAGACATCATCATTATCGTCATCAGCGCTAAACACCCCAGGCGCACTTTCTATCTTCTTCTTTTTTGCATTGGCTCCTAAATTTAAACTGATGCCAACTGTTGGCATTATCGGAGGGGTTGACACGGAATCATTGGTTTGTGCATGTGCAAAGCCTTGAGGAGTGGCCGGTGACATAGACTCTATATCATCGGCGTTTGTATAATCTCGAGACTCAGAATCGTGTCGGCTATAACGACTACTGGCATTTGACATGGTTTCATGGGCAGATGCGTCATCATTGGATATGGAATCAATTGACCTTGCTTTTGAAACGGGCCTTGACGGTCTACTAACAACAGCGGTTGACGGCACTGTGGAAGCACCCACATGGCTGCCAAGACCGTCGTCATTTCTATTGTAAACTTCACGCTTGTCGGAAATACTGTTGTGCTTTTCTCGACTTCTTTCTTGCTCTTTTTCCTTTCTTTGCATATTTTCCTGATTAACGTCAATAATGATCTGAGGTTTATAGAGTCTTTCGTGTTCTTTTTTCGCTCTTTCGTATTCCTGTGTTGGATTATCAAATTCTCCACTGAAAATTTTATTTTTTAATTCATCCAACTCCTCTTGTTCTTTGTTGCGATCCTTTGCATCAAGATCTGCCTCTCGAACCCGTTCAGCTAGGCGCCGCTGTAGTTCTCTTCCTCTAAAATCATGAAATAGTGGATAATTGCAAACTTAATTCTTTTAATAACTTAATCCAATTTTTGACCTTACTTGTAGTACTTAACGTCATCTCTTTCGTCGTCGTAGTCTTCTAGGAACTCTTTAAGGCGCTTTGCTTCCTTTTCGCGCTCTTCTTGTTTTATCTTTTCTTTAAGACGGACCTATATTTTACAAGATTACATTTTTAATATGCCAATTTACTAATGATTGGAGCAACTAACCTTTTCGTATTCTTTTGCTTTGCGTTTTTCCCTTTGCTCCCAGTTCATTAATCGCTCTTGATATGCCTCTTCCTTTTCACGGGCTTTCTTCTCGGCTTTCTTGCGTTCTCTTATCTCTTCTTCCATCTCCTTCTCACGCTGGACGTCCCTGACGTTTTTTGTGATTTTTTCGTCTCGTTCCCTGCAATTTGTACTAATTAATATTATACGCCAAGAAAAAGTTTTATTCGCACCTTTCTCTTTCCCTATCACGCTCCCTTTCGCGTTCTCTTTCCCTCTCTCGTTCGCGTTCGCGCTCTCCTCTTTCTCGCTCTCGCTCACGTTCCCTTTCACGTTCACGCTCTCGCTCCTTTTCTCTTAACTCTCTTTCCCTTTCCCTCTCTCTTTCACGTTCACGCTCTCTCTCACGTTCTCTATAGTCCCGCTCGCGTTCCTTGGTTCGGGAAGGGCTCCTTTTACGACGAGGCTCCTTAACAAGTTCTGGCTCTTCTTTTATACGGACAGGAGAGGATATGGCACATTTCACAGCGCCATTTTCATGTTCGTCAGCATCCCAATCCTGTTCGCTGTCACTATTTGCTTTGCGCTTTTCCTTATCCTTTTGATCCCGCTCCCTCTCACGATCTCTATCCCGATCTCGTTCCCGCTCCCGTTCTCTTTCTCTCTCCTTATCTCGCTCTTTTTCTTTTTCCTTCTCTTTTTCTTTTTCCTTTTCTCTTTCTTTCTCCTTCTCCTTACGATGCTCATCAGCTTCGGCTCTTTTACGAAATTTTCCAATTTCACTACTTATAAGATTTCTCTTATCCTCTTCCAGGTTGGTCTCATTAAGAGCTTTGGGAACTTTGACTTCGTCAACACGTCCTGGTTTTATTTTGCCACCACGTCCACTAAACATATCGTTTCGTGCGTTAGGATCAAATTCTTCAATTTCCTGCCTATGTTCCTCAATTATCTGTCTCATTAAACGCAGAGCATCTTCATCATTGTTTTTCTCATTCTTCTCCTCGATGGCACCGTTTTTACGCTCCTCCTCCTTGAAGTTGTCCAACAAAAGTTTATTTTTAGCATCAACTTTTGCTACCAGTGTCTTGCCGTCTACTTCAATTTCGCTAAGTAAGCGCACGGCCCGCATGCCAGCCGTGGGTCCGCTAAAAGTAATAATATTTTATCGTTCGAAAAATACTATCTAAAATAACAGATATAATTTCTTACTCATATTCGCAGAAACCGAAAGTCGATACACGCTTCCAATTGACCACCGGCCCACAAGTTGCTAGTATCCGTTTTATTAGGACCTCTGGAACACGTTCACTAATATTGCCTACAGTTAAGAAATAGATTGTAACGATTAACATGTGCTTGTGTTTTGTTGTAAAGAAAAACAAGAATTACCAACAAACACCGTTATAATTGGTCCTTGAAATTGTGGTACGGGATCCGGAGGTCTTTGATAAACAGTTGGTTGTGAACTAATAGTTGCTGAGTTTCTATAACCTCGTGAAGGAGGTGGTGGGTGGCCCATCATCTGTAAAGAGCGTACAGCAAAACATTAGGGGAAGTCTACAACCGAAACATTTTCCAAACTTACATGCGGCGGAGGTATGGATGGATTCATATAAGGGGCCATTGGAGGGCGTGGTGGATATGACATTTTGCCGCTTAATATATTGTTTCGAACGTTGGTATTTAATGCAATGACAAACTCGAAAAATAATTCTTATTGAGGACCACTTCTTCACCTCTCATGCAATCTATCACTAGTTAGAAGCAGCAAACAAGCAAGCCGACTTACTTTGCGGCGTGTGCCAGCGGTCGCTGGTATGTCTACTGCAAAAATTAAATGCACCAACAACACACACACTATTTTCACTTGTCAAATTTCTTACTTATGTTGAACTATCTTTTCTACGACATTCGTGCAAATCCCCATCTGTCACAAAAATATCCTAATTAAATAATTTATATTTTTTTGTTGAAGAAACAAACAACTAACAACTCGCGAGATTTGACGAATGACAAGACAAAGATGGCGATCGAGATAGGGATCTGTACGTCGGTATTCGATTAATCGACAATTGTTAAAGTGCAATGGTAGCACTGCAAACTCGACAATTAAATCAACGAACAGAATGAAGACGGATTCACAATCACAAAATTTGCAATATATTAATCTATATTTTTTATTTTTCTTAATCTTGACAAGCAGATAAAATTAAGAGAAACAGTGGAAAAACACCAATTTAGTAAGGAACAACTATAGTATAATAACAACTTATTTTTACCCTGATTAAAGTATTCTTGAGGGAAGGACCCGGGTACAGGAAAATTCCAAAGGATAGCTACTTAAATGAAATATCAAATTTAGAAACATTTTAGTTCGCGTAGCCGGTGTTGGACATACCTATATGAGTAAAACTCAAGCCCCGGCTAAAGGCCGTCCACCCAGCACAACATACAATTTAGAAAAACTGAACATAATCGGCTCGTGCTGGTTCAAAGATCCGTATCTCTCGATACAAGAAAGATAATAGCACCCATGGGACAATGATATCAAGGTAGGGCTATGATACCATATGATTTTAATTTGTTATTTTCAATTAATTTGTTATTTCACTTCAAAAGAAGTGTTGACCTTTCATTCAGTTATAGCGTTTTTCAATTATTTATTCAAAATAAATGCAACAAGTTGTTTGATTTTTTATTGTTTTGATACTAATTCTGACATTACAAGCCAAACAGGTAAACCTCTATACTTCCAATTTTTTCAATATTGGCCTACCTTCTCTTCATTGTACCATGATAGCACCCATGGTACAATAAAAAGGTAAGGTAGAGCTCCCAGCTGATAACATTTTTTTTCTAAAGGTACGGTCACACTGGGCAAATATTTGATCGAAATTTGTTATCTCATATTTGACTGGACAAATGTGAAATTCATACAGAGTTGATTCGATGTTCATATTACAGTCAAATATTTGACAGATTTTGTTTGTTCAAGCAGGGGAGAAGGGAAACAAAAGACCGGCTGTTGTGAAATAAATGCCTTGCCAGAACAACTTTTTTTTTTTGTAATTTTTGTATGTTTATATGCACATACAAAATCATGCATATAAATCATGGTGCATAAAATTCATAGTAGGGTAGTATGCTGTTGTGTTCAATTATTGGGCTGTTCCAGAACCTGCAAGAATCGACTAGTTTTGCAATTTTCTTCGATATCATAAAGGCAAAATCGGTTGTTGTAGTAAAAACATTTACATTCATGCAGTTCTGGAACAACCATATGTAAACATTTTATATATAAATATATATAGATATAGAAAATTATTTTGAGAAGAAATTTTGACCTACTACTCACTTTGGTGGGCTTTGGTAATTAATTCAAAAATACCAAACAAACAAAACTACTTATTGCATTAGTCTGTCATTATATTCTTTAAACATCATGTTACAAATTCTTCTGTTCTTAAAGAAAAATGGTGAGACAATGTTTTAAACCGATATTTTTCCTTGTTTGACCTTACAAAACATTTGCAACGTCAAATAAATGTTTGACAAAAAATGAGGAAAATAATTGATCATATGTGTTCACATTATGGACACACTGGTCAAATTTTTGTTTCCTGGCAAATAATTTTGTTTTCCCAAAATCAGCTGTTTTTGTATTTGCCGTCAAATAATATTTGTTGGTCAGATTGTGACAAAGAAATATTTTACATTTTTCGTCAAATATTTGCCCAATGTGACCTTACCTTAAGTGTGCCCGACTTCTGCCAATTTTGTGTATGTATTTGTTGTTTTAAAAAATAAAAAGATATTTTCAAAATCAATGATTGGAAGAAACTTAAATTGCGGGGCGCGCATTAATAACATTAACGAGGTTTACCATGGAATTGAAAGATTGAACACTTAGGATCATATTTTTGAGAGAACATCAAGGCATTTCATTTATATTTCGCGTTATTTGACTCATTTTAGAAATGAACAAAAATATCAAATAAATTAAAACAACTTGTTGCCTATAATTTTGAATAATTCTGAGAGGAAGCGGGCATAGCCTCAGGGCTGTATTTCTGCAGTTTAACGAAGCTGTTGTACCTCCTTATTGTACCATGATAGCACCTTTTGAAAGGTTATAGTGTCAACTATAATTTGGGTTAAATTTTATGGGCTCCAAAAACGGGTCCAAAAAATCAATGATTTTGATTCTTGCTCTCAAATGTTGGATATTTTTCAAATATTAGCTTTCAAAACATACCTATATTGTCAACATCGGTTTAGTAGGTCCGGGTCTTGGTATATGGATCCGTCCCCCAAGAAAAAAATACTTTCCCGGAATCAGCGTAAAAACTAAACTAAGCCAAAACATTTCAATGAACTGAATGGGGTTGTATGGAATCCATGGTAAAGTTAAGAAGGTAAAGTCATTTGAAATAAGCATACCCATTTCTGCATTTTCTGTAATTTTCCTTGTCACATTTCACTGCATAAAAACAAGTTCCCATCTCTGAGTTGTGTATGTACAATGGATTTATAAATACAAATTTTGACAATGAGATGTTGTCAAATGAATAATTTTTGAAAAAAATTCAAGCATGACTTTACCTCCTTGATTCTACCATGCATGGAATCAAAGTGACATATCGTTCGATCCGAGAAAGACAATAACACAAATTGTATCATTTTGGAAATGCTAGGGTGGAAATACATAAAGCGCATATTAAGCTGATGAACAAATGAGTTTTAGGTTGACTTAGTTCGATTTTGGCCCTAGGCTCCTTTGTTAATCTCCGAAGAAGCCAGCCGATAACATAAGTCAGCCAGATAAGCGCTTTATGTTTTCCCACCTTTAATTTAAATTGTCATATCCATTACTTTTACTTCAAATAAATCCTCTCAAAGTAGGTTAACCCTACAAAAAGTTCTAACGTAAACATGGCATTATAGTGTTCACCATAACTTGCCACTCGTTTTGTGTAAATTCCTATATAAAGTTCAATCCGGGACCTTCGATTTTGGGATGGATACCAACACAGTCGAGTTGAGGAAAGTACTTCTTCGTAGAGGTCTTTCAGTGTTATGCTAGGAACACAATTGGAGCGAACGACGAATTTTTTCGCGGCGTATGTTCGTCGTCAAAAATAAAAACCATATGTGTATATGGAAGTGCACACAATTACGGCGCCGGCGAAAATTTCGTCGGTCGCCGCGAACTCAATTAGCTTTATTTCTATTTCATACGCCGGCGAACGGCGACAAAACAGTACAAGGTGGCCATACTTGTACGAATTTTATGTGTTTTAGTAAATAAAGTTACTTTTTACTTAAAAATTTGTTATGGTCACTCTACTATCTGTTATTCGTATAAAAAAACATAAATAATTTGTTTATTTATTTGTGCACTTGCGCCTGAGTGAAGATGGATATCAGTGAATTTATAATAGAGAAGATGGACATAACTGAAATTATAAATTATGAGTTCTTGTATAATTTTCATTGAAGTCAACAAATGAGCAAAAAGTAAACAACTTCATCAGCTGTTTTATAATTTCGTCGGTATTGTGTTCCATACGACGAATTTTCGCGGCTCATTTTGTCGCCGCGTAGGGCGAAATTCGTCGTTCGCTCCAATTGTGTTCCTAGCATTAAGCTATTTTTGATTTGTCTTCCTAGAAATTTGATTGTATTCATCGTTTCTATGGTGGTGTCTTGTATTATTATATGGGGAATCTTCCTTGCTACTTTGGATACATACATGGTACAATGAATTTAAGGTAGGGCAGAACTACCATATGATTTTAATTTTTTTATTTTCCTGGCTTAATATGTCAACTTTATTTGTTCATGTGTGTGTATTCTTTTCAATAATAAAAAAATTGTTCAGAAAATATTCAAATTTGGGTGTTTTCAAAATGCTTATTGCGACGTATGCATCGACAAAATCTACAGTTTTTGTCGCGAAATAAACTATAAGAGATATATAGTACATGATTTTGAAAAGAAATTTTGATTTTCATTCTGTTTTCGCGGTTTTAAATTATTTATTCAAAATCAATGCAACAAGTTGTTTGCTTTTTTTATTGTTTTGATAGTAATTCTGACATTACAAGCCAAACAGGTAGACCTCTATACTTGTAATTTTTTCAAAGTTAGCCTACCTTGTATTCATTGTACCATGGTTACATATGTTTCTGCAGTTTTTTTTTCCATATATATTTTATTGTGACATATTCGGCCCTATTACGGTTATCGTCGGCGTCGCAAAATTAAGTCGAGGCGACAATAATGATATTAGGGTTGTCGTTTTTTGTCGATAGCGACAATGGTTGCCATTATCATTGTCGATACAATAGTCGACGTGAAGTCGATTTTTGAGAATATCTGTCGCCGTAAAAAATTGTGACGACATAGCATTTTTTAGTCGACGTTGATATTGTAAGCATTTTGTATTTGATATTTGAGCATGAAAATAACAACAGCAAAACAATTTGAAATTTTGGTTTCCGAATTGGAAAAAAATCCATGTTTGGTAAAAGGGTTTACCAAAGGTCATGTTCCAGCTAATTTTAAATCTGATTGGGAATCTATTGCTACAAAATTAAATGTAAACGGGCCTCCGATTAGAGGCTCCGATGGCTGGCAAAAAGTATGTAAAAATTAAAATTAATTTTGTATGTTTTTATTAGTTGGTTTTCTAAAATTCTTCTAGGTTTGGAAAAAATTTAAAACTAAAAAGGAACTTGTGCACAACAAAGATGAAACCAGCAGCACTGGAGGTGGCATTTTTAAGCAAATGACTGTCGCCATTGGATGAGTCTGTCGCTAATATAATGCAGTTTCAAAAGTTACTGAACAGACCAGGTGGTGCACTTGGAATAGAAAATAAGGAAAACATAAGGGTAATAGACGTTATAGTTCATGAAAATGAGCAAGTGGACAATGCTGAAGACGAGACTGATGTAACCTACTATTGAAACTTCTCGATCGCCCAGAAAAAAACAATGGTAAAAAGTCATCAAGGA